GCCGCTTGGGAAGCGCGGCGGCGCTCCCGCCCGAGGGTTCGGATCCCACATACAGACCGGTTCCCGCTCACTGGCTGAGCGAGTCGCGGGAGCACCACCGAGGGTTGCGATCCCGTTGCCGGACATGGAAAAAGACAAAAAAATAATAATAATAAATAAAAATAGAATTCTTCTTTAGCATAGGAATGGAGAGGACAAGATTGAAAGGGGAAACTAACTTTCTTACTGTTTAGCTGCATTCAGTAGGACTTGGGAGTGGCACTTGCATTAGGGGACTCTTTTTAACTTTCTTTAGAAAAATCATCCAGCTCTGGTTGTGGAAAGAGGCTTGTTTTCATGCAGAGACTAGTGTGGATAGTATTAGCATTACCTTGTTTTCTGGGTAGAAATTTCTTTCAAATAGAAATATTATTTGACCCAAAAACGAAGGCCAGGTGTTTTCAGGCCTCCATACCCAGGCAGTCTCTGCACACCATCTGCTGTATCAGCAGCAGCATCTCTGTTTGGAGCAAGAACTACCAGCATCTACTGCACAGGCAGGGCCATGGCAGCAGATGTTGTAAATGGCAGGAAATAACTGAGAGGAAGCCCAGGCCAGCATATCAGCTAGGATTCTTTGGGTTGCAAGTGACAGAAAAATCTAACTCAGAAAATAAAGACTCATGAAACTGACCAGTCTAAGCATTGTTAGCCTCAAGTGAGGCTTGGTCCAGCTACTCAAATAGTATCCCCCAGGACTCCGCCCCTTGCTGCATGGTAGCAAAATGACTATGGCAGTTTCGGGTGGCACATCCTAACAGATCACATGGCAGGAGACAAGAAAGTCTTTTCCCTCAGCTCCCATAGTCCTTGATTTATTCTCTCGATTTTGTCCCAGATTGGGTCATGTACCTCCCCCTAAACCACTCCCTGTAGATGGAAGAGTGGGATGTACTAATCAGCGAAAGCCAGCCAAGGCTGTCCCCAGGCTGTACAGGTGGAGCCAAATCCACCCAAACCACTCACTAAGCACAAGGAAGGGATGAATTCTCCGCGGGAAAATTAAAATCCTGTTGGTAGGAGAGGTGGGAGTGGATACCAGACAAAAAATGTTCACCACAACCAGTTATTCCTAAAACATTTCTTAGGACAACTTAGGGCCCCTTTATTTTGCAAGGGACTATATAGTATGTGTGCTAAGAAACTACCCAGCTTTATTTCCTGTGAATGCCAAATCAATCTGAAACCACCACTAAGAAGGTCCAACAACAATGCCTTTTATTAATCCTTAGTCTTCAGGAACAATGGCTGATCCTTTGTGAATCTGAACATTTTAGCCTGTCACTGGAAAGTTGTAGCAGCTTGAATACATAAGCCTCAGCCTTGTAGAATGTCACAATGTGATAGGATTCTGTCATTGGCTCAGTTTGATTCAAGCCAGGAAGAGCTGCTACTGTGTCTCCAGAGCTTACTCTAAAAAGGGCCAGGGCAGAGGCTGCCCACCCAGTTAGTGTGAAGGAAGGGGATTGCTGCAGGTATGACAGGTAGCACTCTCACTGGCATCTCTTACCTGTCACTGGTACTCATTGTTGAAGTAGCAATAGTGAGAATAATATTTAATATTTATTGAGCACTTACTATGTGCCATGCAGTGTTCTACACACTTTCCATGTGTTAATTTGTTCGATCTTCACAACAGCCTCGTAAGTAAGGTATATTATCATTATGATTATTATTATCATCCCCACTTGACAGACAAGAAACACAGGCTCAGTGAGGTAAAGAAACCTAAGACGTCACGCCTCTGTAAAGCAGCAGCTCCAGAAGCCCAGAGAACATGCTCTTATGCACTATGCTGCCATCTTCCTCCTTCCCCGTCTTAGGAAATTGAAATCCAAGAAGGCTGAATGAGCAATTTGAGCAAGAGAAATGAAAACCTGAATGGGGACATGCCTGCAAGTAATTCTCAACCCTTTTTCAGTTCCACAGTCTGGCATGATGCTGAAGCAGACCATATAATTTTTTTTTCCTTTTTGTCTTTTTTACTGACCGGTAACGGGATCGCAACCCTCGGTGTCGCGCCCGTACCGGGGACCGGCAACGGGATCGCGGCCCTCGGTGTTGCACCCGCACCATGCTCAGCCAGTGAGCGGGAACCGGTCTCCACATGGGATCCGAACCCTCAGCGGGAGCGCCGCCGCGCTCCCAAGTGGCGCACTCTCCAGTGCGCCACCGGGCCGGCCCAGACCATATAATTTGAGTTGGGGGTGTCTGTCCTTTCTCATGGGCAAATACAGCACCTCAAACAATGGAGTCTATTACTATCATTTGGAAATTGGCAAAGAGCACTGGGCATTAAAGGAAGAATTTTAAAGCAATCTTGAAATTTTTTTTTTTCCTTTTTGTCTTTTTTCGTGTCCGGCAACGGATCGCAACCCTCAGTGTCGCGCCCGTACCGGACCGGGACCGGCAACGGGATCACAACCCTCAGTGTTGCACCCACACCTCGCTCAGCCAGTGAGCGGGAACCGGTCTGTATGTAGGATCCGAACCCTCGGCGGGAGCGCCGCCGCGCTCCCAAGCAGCGCACTGTAGCAGTGCGCCACCGGGCCGGCCCACAATCTTGAAATTTTTGAATTAAGGCCCTGAGGAAACCCAGCAGAGGATTCTACTCCTAGCCCAGGAGGCAGTGAATATATCAACTCCCAGCCTCTCAGGGCCTGCATGAGAAGGAGGTAGTTCCACACCAGCCTGTCCTTTGGTGAGAACAGTGGCAGGAAACTGTGGAACAGCTTTGTCCACAAGAAAAGCCAGTGGGCTTGGGAAGCTTGTACAACACGGCATAAGCAAACCTCTGCAGTAGGGTTTAATATTTTTAATACTTTCTCAAAGGGAGGAGGCAAAACCCATTTGACAGGTGAAAAAGCATCTCTATTGACTTTTTACAAACCTTATGATATTCTAGGTGGACTGACACTTATCATAGCCCTTTAATCTGCCAACCAGGATAATGTGTGCACGGATAATTTATCCACTGTGAGATTGAAATGCTCAATTTGGAATAACTTTCCTTACCCAGTAAATTGAGCATTACTCTGTGATTCTGAGGCAGAGAGAAAGCACGATTTAAAAAGCTTTGCAGAGTTCCTTTGTAATTAGTCGCAGCTTCCTGTGAATATTAATTTCTCCCTCATCCCTTTCAAGTGATTTAGAGACTGTCTGTGAAACTACAGAGATGTACCCTCGGACCCACGACAGCAAGCAGCATGGTCTCAAACACCTATTGTTAAGTAGTCTGCAGAACGCACTGTCTGTTCTTCAGTGCAGCGTGTGGCTTATCAGTGCAAACAGTTTAATATTTATGCTAAGAGGATTGTCAAAAGCAGCTTCTGTTGCTTTAATTCTTGTTTTAAATAAATAATGAGAACATTTAAACACATTACTCTTCTTGGGGCCCTGAGGTCAGCTAATCTTATTATTTATGAAGTGATGTGCTACATAATAGTACTTAGTGCATGTTAACAGACGCTATTATCAGGGCCTGATGCGGAGAGCTGAAGATATATTGGAATGTTATGTGTAATGTACGACGGATGGAGTGCAGAGGATGCCGGTATAGCAATTAACCACACACGAAAATAGGTGTAAAGTTGAAGTATGTTTTCCCACGGGGATCCCCTCCCCATTAATAATTCCCCAGAGAAGAAGATGTCTTTCAGTTAGGAACCTTCTCTACCATCAGGCTTGGAAATGGGGCCAGGATATTCCATTCTTTGATCTCTTGATAGTGAGTCCTACACAGTCAGAAGACAAATAGTGGGTATGACCACTTTCTAGTTGATTTAGGGAAAGATGCGGAGAAAGTCAGGGTGGGAGACACCAGGCAGCTCTTCGTTTTTTTTTTGGGTTTTTTTTCCCTCTTTTTATTTTATTTATTTATTTAGGCAGCTAGCCGGAACAGGGATCCGAACCCTTGACCTTGGTGTCATCAACACCGTGCTCTAACCAGCTGAACTAACTGGCCGGCCTGTGCAGCTTTTCTGGATGTACTCATAGTGCTCATTTTTGGTGCACATACCTTCACTGCCATGTGCTCCAGGAGAGCAGAGAAACTGGTCATTCCTTATTGCAATTTGTTTTCTTTGTTCTAATCCTCGTTTTTCAGATAAATAGAGCCAGAGCCCCTGAGCTTTCCCAGACCAATTTTAAATAAGCTTGGGTCTCTCTGAGAGGTAGATGCTGCCAGGGTGTAATGATGTTGCCCCAACTTTTTTCCTGCGAGGCTATAATTTAGCTGCATATGATAATTAATTTCTCTACTATTGATGAATAATCCATTTAATAAAAACCGTGATTTAAGTGTTTTCCTTAGGGACTAACTCCTGCTAGCCTCTTAATTTAATTTTGTGGAAGTTTTCCCCACCTATTCATCAGTGGAAATGATTATTAACCTCTATTTGCATATATCCTTATAAATCGGTCTCTCCTTGGAGTGTCTTTTTCTGAGCATGGCAAGCTGGGACACTTGTAAATCTCTAGGATCTCCAAAGTCAATCCCAGTCTGTAATATTGTTTAATCTATTCTTGGATGTTTTAATGCAGTAAATTCAATTTAATCTTTCCCAGTAATCTAGTAATACATTGAAATCCCACAAACATTTAAATCTGATAATGGCTTAATCACACACTTTAAATAACAGTTGAGATAATGAAAAAATAATTCACCATTTTAAAGGCAGAGTAACTGAATTTCCTTGTGGTTGGCTTCTGTGAAGCTACTGGAGATAATACAAATCTGGGAATAAAAGAAAAGAAGTCCCAGCACCGTAAGGAACGATTCTTCCTGCTTCCAAACACCTGCTTTCTGCCTTGCAAACTCATTCTTCACTTTCATTGCCAAGATCTTCACCACAGAGGACTGTTTTCAGAGCATTTGCCCCTGTTTCTCCAAGTTTTCCCATGGGTTTAGGTCTTCCAGGTATTTCCTCGCATGGGTTAATTTCCTATTCTTGCTCTTCCAGGTGCCAGTCCCGAATTGCCCGATCTTTACCCGCGGATCAGAAGCCAGAATGTCGGCCGTATTGGGAAAAGGATGATCTTTCCATGCCTCTGCCGTTCGATCTCACAGACATCGTTTCAGAACTCAGAGGTCAGCTTCTGGAGGCAAAACCCTAGAAGGAGCACAAGTCTTAGGTGAAGGAGGAAAAGATCTCTTTGGTTTTCTCCTCCAACCTTGTCATGGGCTTGCACAAGGGCAGTGTAGACAGACTTCTTTTGGCCCTTAGATTGTGGAACCTGGGTCCCAGTTCAAAATAGCTAGAGAATGGAACCCATGAGTGTTCAAATGTTTTTAAATGACATAGTGTTATAGTCTGGTTTGGTATTAAACAAGAACTTCCCCAAAAGAAAACTATTTCCCACTTGGATTTTTTAACATGAACCATTTAGCCTGCAAGTGCCAAAAAAGGCAACAGGGATGAGCCCAGCCAGTGACAAAGCCTAACCTGCTTTCCTCCTTCCAAGCCTATTCAGAGACTCTAGAGTGGACCTAGTCATCTAAAAAAAGACAGAGACGTGCATCCCAATTTCTTACTGCACCCTCTCGAGGCTATGCTGTCCAATATGGTAGCCACTAGCTAGCTGTGGCTACTTAAATTTAAATTCAATTTTAATTTTAATTAAGAATTTAGTTTCTCAGTTGCCCTAGCCACATTTCAAGTGCTTAATAGCCACATGCGGCTAGTGACTACTGTGTTGGACGGCACAGATACAAGACGTTTTCATCATTATAGAAAGTGCTATTGGACAATGCTTTTATAAAAAGTTTGAGAACAGGAATTCTCTTTTCCAATTCTCTGTAGCCTCTATCCCCATAGGAAAAAGCAATTAAAAGAGAAATGACTCACTGCAAAGTAGCCTGTTTCCCTTCTCTGAGACAAACCTAAGTAAAAGCCTGAGTGTGCACACAGGAATGGGGAGTTGTTAACAATTAAAGTTGACATCCTGTCTTTAGGGAGTTTCTCTGATCTAATGAAAGAGACACAGCCCCATTTATATTGTCATGAATTTAGCCAGCATGGTATAGTTTTTTTCTATAATTCCCCCATTCATATGTAATGACAGGTAGAATCGAGGCTTGCAGAACCCACTGGAGTGTCAGAGAGACCATGAAGAGTAGAAGTTAAAACATGGGCTCTGGTTTCAAAGTATCTGGATTAAGACTCCTGCTAGCTTTGTGACCTTTGGGATGTTGTGCCTCAGTTTCCTCATCTGTATAATGGGGATATACTAAAGGTACCAACTCCCAAGGTAAGGATTAAGTGAGGTTTCTAGCTACACACTTAGAACGATTTCTAGCACATAAATATCCAATAAATATTAGTATTATTGTATATCAGTAAGCTGACCTGTATGTAGACATTTTCCTCTCCCTTCCCCAATCCCTGTGCCAGTTTTGTCTCGTGATGTCAGTAACACATCTCTACCTTTCTGGCCTGGCTCCCGCCCTTTGGTGTGCCCAGAAATCACGAGAATAGTGAGCCCATGTCATCAGCCTCTTGCCTTCTCTTGGAGTTGTTCAAGTAGAGCTTTTGCCCACGGAGAGGTGCTCTGAGAACACTCTCACTCCTGCCCTCCAGCTCTCATTTTTTCACAGTATGTGTTCCTGTCCATGGAGTTAAAAGCCACAGAAAAGTCACGTGACACACAGCAGCCGGGGTCGCGTGGTACTGAGACTTCGGTCTCTCGGACCTTGGATTAATTCTGTGATGTCTTTTAGCTTTGATTTCCTCATCAGTAGAAGAGAGGTGAGGCACTACCTTGTGGGGTCGTTGTAGAGACTGAATGAAATAACACAGGTAAGGAGCGCGTGGCACATGGAAGTCACAGACTGGGCACCCTCGGGCCACCTAGCCCAGTCTTTTATTTAGCCCCATGATGTTTGTTCTTTGTTATATTTCATTAGGTGCCAATATTTAAACATTGGGGGATTTTGCATAAAATAAGAATGTCTGCATTCTCTTTAGAATCCAGAACACCGAGCAGTCCCAGGCCCCCTCCTAGCATGGCACAAGCTCAGTAGTGTCCTTCCGCTGTGAGGCGGGTGTGAACCCTCCCGTGGTTTGCCGTGGGCCCTGTTGCTCCCTATTATCATCTATTGTCAACCTGACCTGCTTCACCCCTTCATATCAGCACTCTCCAAACCTGCCTGCTTGCACCCCTACAGTAGAAATAATGTTTAGTGTTCGCCCCAATGTATGTGTATTGCTATTGAACTGTATCTGTGGACTGCTTGTACTAATATGTCATGTGCACCATAAAATATTCATACACAATAAAAATATTAAAAGGATGAGATAAAAAACCAAGAGAGATTCTGCTATCTTTTCCTTGCCTGCCAGTGGCTTGGTTGGGGCCCAGGTGGAGCTGGTGGTGTACAGCGAGGTTGGAGAAACCACTACCTTAAGTGAATCTGAAAGGTGACATTTTCTCAGAAGCAATGGGGAGGCTGAGCACAGTGTGTCTGAGGACTGCACATGCTCTCGGGGAGGTTTTACGTGGGTAGAAGGAAGGGAGCCAAGAGACAATAAACAGACAGCTGGGGGACACTGACAATCAGCTCATCTGCAGGGCTGGGGAAAGGCCTGTTTCTCCCCTCTGAGTGGGGAAGGACTTTCCTGGGAACACAGGCCCAGAGATTCCTACCACGCTGTGTGTGTGGATAAGGGAGCAGGGAGGCCTTGGCCCTGGGGCCACCTTGAGTTGGCAGCAGGCCCCAACTGCTTTCCTGCCAGGCTTCCCTGTGGTCCTCAGGTCCCAGCTATCTTAAGAAAAGTGATCTAAGTGATCCCTTTGCACACAGGTGCTACTGACTTCCCCCCTTCCTGTCTTCCACAAACCTTTCTTGCTGCCTGCCACAGTTTAGCAGTGTGGCGAGCCCTGGGGATCCAGGGTCAGATCTCTGCCTTACAGGGGCTCAGAGGCTAATGGATGCCAGGATATGTAGTGACCAAAATAAGAGTTTGCCCTGTGGTGTGGAGTAGATAGTAAACCAGCAAATAAATACCAAGATCATTCCACATAGCAAGGGAATGAAGGTGGCCTACATCAGGTAGCAGAAAAATGCTTTCCAGGAAAGGGACATCAGGCACAGAGGCCTCAAGCCAGGAGAGCGCTTGAAGGGTGAAAGAAAGTGAGCCGAGATGCCAGGTTCCGTTCAAGCTTTATTAAAGGAAGAAAATCTGCCGGGCTGTGCTCAGAGTGGGAGGCAGCCCAGGGCTGCCCTGAAAATGGGGGACAGCACCAGGTGAGGGTGTGGTAGAGCTTATATTGGTATGTTGATGCCAAGAGCTGGTGATGTAATTCCGGGGTGGAGATTGAGTTAGGTGACGGGAATGGAGAGTTCTGCACATGTGGAAACACCAAAAGTTTCCTTTTCTCCGAAACTATGAGGCTTCTTGTAAAAGAGAATGGGGGAGGGGAGGGGAGGAGGTGGATGGCGCCATTTTGTACCTGGGCTTGTCTAAGGTGGTGCTGGTTATGTTGCAGATCTATTAGAAGGGACACTATCAAAAAAAAAAGAGCCCTTGTGACCAAGCAGAGACCGCAAAGAGCAACAGGGGAGAGGGAGCAGGAGAGGAGACAGGAGTGCATTAAGTTTTGTTTCTCACGTCCTGACAAACACGGAAGCATTCCATGCAGGGAGGGTGTGAGCGTGACTTGATCAGATATTATGCTTTAGACAATCACTGTGGCCACTATCTGCACTCTCAAGCATCTCTGAGTGATCAGGTGGCTCAATCCAAAGGAGCTGCTTTCCAGTTGGGAATTTCCCCAGTTTCATGGGGAGAGATCTGGAGATGGGTGGGATGGGCAAGATGGCCTGAAAGCCCCCCAGGTAGCTCCTGTTTGCAGAGTTCACTCCCAGCAGCTCCTCCGCACAGAGACAGCATCTGTTTCTCCTCTCCCAGGCAGAGCCACCAGCCTGAGAGAAACTTCTAGGCATAAAAGAGCAGAGTCATGGCATTGCTTGTGACACAATTTTAGTAATAAGCTTCTAAATCCACCACCAGCTGAATCAAGGGAGGCTAGAAATGAGATTCCATAGGTCCTATTTAATAGCTACCCCACATTCAGTAGAAGGTTTTTTGTGTGTTTCAGAGAAGGTATTTTCAAATGCAACTTTCTTTTTTTTCCGGCTCTAGTTAAGGCTGATTTTACCACTGGGCAAATTGCATACATTTGGATCCATGCCACACTAAATACTGTTTATTTTGGAGATCTGTCAGAGGCGAGCACATGGAAGATGAGGGGATTCTGATTGGAAAAGGCAATTCCCATCCAAACAGATTCAGATGGAGAGAAGCCGCGCGGATTAAACTGCGCTGAAGTGGTAATGCCGTTTATCCAGTTTGCCTTTGTTACTTTGTGATTAAATGGTATTTTTAATTAAGTTTCATTGGGAGCCATAGGTATCACGGTGGTGAAATCAATTTGACAACCATAAAGGGGAGGGAAGGCACAGGCCTGTTGTAATGATTGCGGCTGGAGGGGGAGCCGGGCGGCTCTAAGAGGATGGGGAGGAGGGGGCAGTGGCCAGGGATGATGTCCTGCGGGACCACGGGGCACCCCGGGCTGCTCCTGGGTTTGGGAGGCAGTTTTGGTGGTTGTCAGGAAAAGGAATACACCTGGTTCTCTCGCTCACCTGAGACACCTGATGTATTCGGAAGCCGGCTGGGAACTACTGGGAAGTGTCTTAAGGACCTGTCTCTCCTTTCTCTCTTATGCACAAGGAGAAAGCATGAAGAGGCAAGTTGCTCCTGATATGATACCTGGCCCAAATCCTCCTCCTCCAATTGAAAACTAGTCCCCTCTGCACCCCCTGCTCTTTCTATCCTGTTAACATTCATCGGATTTTCTGAATCTTCTGATTCCTGAACGGCATGTGAGGCTTCTGGCTGCAGACCTCCCTGGGTTTGATTCCTGGCTCTGCGTGTGACCCTAAGGCTACCCACCCCTTCAGACCATTGTTTTCTTGTCTACAAAATGGGAGTAATAGTAACGTATCTATCACCTAAGGTTGTTGTGAAGATTAAGTAACTTCACGTGCATATAAAATGCCTCTAGCAGTGCCCAGCACATACAGGTCTTCAGTGAGGTACTAGGTAGTAGTAACCCGGTTTCTTGTGATAACGGTGGTAGCTTTGTGATTAGGGCAATTCACTGGACCTCTCTGTGCTCCAGTGTTTGTTTATGTAGTGGGGTGATAACACCTAGCTTTGGATTGCTCTAGCTCCCGTGATCACGCATGTTAAGTGATTCACATCGTCTGGCACTTAGTAATCAGTCAATGCATGTAAATTATTATGATGAAAAATATTATCAAAATATTTGATACTCACCAAAGAAGACACTAAAGATAGCTGTAGTTTAAGAAGAGTAGTATGTTATCATCCCATATGTTCCATATGCTCTTCTATTTTTTTCTAGGCAAATGGCATAGAACTTTTAACAAATAAGATACATGAAAAATGATTCTTTCGTACTCCCATTAGTACAGTGGGATTAGGTCATCCCTTGCAATTTTAGATTTGCTTAAAAAAAATTCTTGCCATCACCTTCTAATGGATGATCTGTGTACAACAATTGTTTATTGACTCTGAAGTCTGAGTACCAGGGTCAGTCTATTTCAAGGGGAGGGAAGCATTAATTAACCTCCAGCATGAGATTCAGTGATTCTTTTCCAATGATGCAGTTCATGACTTTGTTCGCATTTACTTTTCATCAGTCCAGAAAGAATCGAGGTAAAATAGTTCCTCTGCACATGTGTGTCAAGCTAAATGGATAACAGCAGATACAGATCTGTTTGCCTGTCTGCACTTGCCTTTAGACAAAATTCATCAATTTTACAAAAGCCACTGACTAAACATGGCAACAATACAAATAAAAAGCTTCTAGTACGCGGGGTTTCCCCTTTGTTTCTAATCTGGTAAACGCTGAGAGGTGGGAGGTGCTGGCCTTGGACAGCAAGGTGCCCTACATGTGGGGACAAAAGGGTCAAGGCCATTGTACGGGAAGTTTAGGAAAAGTACAGTGAGGGCCGGCCCGGTGGCGCACTGCGCTAGTGCGCCGCTTGGGAAGCGCGGCGGCGCTCCCGTCGAGGGTTCAGATCCCACATACAGACCGGTTCCCGCTCACTGGCTGAGCGAGGCGCGGGGGCAGCGCCGAGGGTTGCGATCCCGTTGCCGGTCCCGGTCCGGTACGGGGGCGACACTGAGGGTTGCGAACCGTTGCTGGACACGGAAAAAGACAAAAAAAAAAAAAAAAGAAAAGTACAGTGGTTCCAGACCCTGTGTCCTGGGAGTAACTCTGACCTTTTTGGTTAGTGATTGTGGCATGAAGCTCCTCTCACCCAGCCTTGCTTGATGTTAAAGATTAAATAAAAGACCACAGATGATCACTGTCTTAGTGGTGCCAGCTTTAAGGGCACCCTGCTTGCCCCTGCCAGCTTTGAGGGCACCCTGCTTGCCCCTCCCAGCTCCTGAGAGAAGGTCTACAGTCCGGATCGGTCCCCACAGATAAAACTCACCGTGACTGTGCAGTCAGCAAATGGAGATACCATTTGGACAGGCTTTATAAATGCTGAAGCCTTATGCAAGTCCAAGGGAGACGGGGAGATCATTGTTATTTATTTTGTGAAACTGGTTTAATTTTGGTGGGTAATGAAAGAATTTCCAAATATGCATATTACTCATCAGGCAAGGCCAGATGATACAGGATCAGCATATACCTCACTCCTGAAGACACAAGAAGCAGCCAGAGCACAGGGGTATATAAACATCTCTTGCACAAAAATAGTCTCAGTGACTAATGGGAAGGCCTCCTTTTTAATTTTTCTGGACTCCATGCACCTTATGAATAATGCCACACCTAAGTAGAGGTATGTCCAGCACTTCACAAAATAATCTTGGAGCCTCAGGACACACAGAGAGGGAGCATGCTTTCATTTGTTTCTTTGCAAAACTGTTGTCCCAGCTGAAAAACTTGGGTATCATCCTTTCAAATGGGGAATTCGGTTTTCCTTTGGGGCGAGCACAGTTAACCCACCAACCCCTGAGCCCCACAAGGGGTGAATCAGTTTCTCAGAGCAGCTAAAGCTTCTGCTCAGAACTCATCCAACACAGAGAACTGGACCTCTGGTCACCCTCCTGCCCCCTGCCCCCCAACTCCTCAGACAGAGATTTCCAGTTGATTACTCCTTGATTAGAGTTGGAAAGCAGCAGGCCAGGTATACAGGATCCCCCTTGTCCTCCCCTGATCTGCTGCTGACCAGGGTCAGGCGAGAGATCTCAGTGAGCATGTGAACAAT